ACGAGTCGCGTTTTTACAGTGTCAATTAATAACTTATTAATAATGCGCTATTAACAATACACGTTCACATTATCATAATACTGTCGCTACGACAGTAACGACAGTGTCGTAGAACGCGGGTAGGTCCCTCAGCGACCGTCGCTGGGACAATGCGCCTACTTCACAATGTGAAGTTCACATCACACAAATCTCTAGCGAAAATTATTGGAAGTAGACACGCGAATAATCTTGGGAATTGCTAGCGCGACGGACTTACCGGGCAGTTGCCAATTGCCAACTAGTAGATTACTGCTGTAATATAGGTCCAGGACTCCTGCAGCAGGAGTGGACTAGTATTTCATTATTCATTTACGTAGTTATCTAGTTTGAAACGATTCATTGCTTCGAGCTCCAAATCGGGCCTTGTATAATAATTAAAAGTATATTGCTTAGGTTCGAACCCTATACCGTTGCACTCACAAACACGAAACTTAACCACTGAACCATACACTCTACATAACAAAAAGTTTTTAAGTGTTCTCCATGGCTACCTGTTATTGCTTAAACGTTCCCCAAGCGATTGGGTAAAATAATGCTAATATATATATTAATAGATTATAATGGCGCGCGGTTTTTAGTTGGTTAAAATCGGGTTTGGCTAAATTCGGGCAGAGCCGTAGCGCTGTCCCTATTGGGACAGTACACTAATCTGGTGAACGTGCGCCCAAGCCGTGAAACAAAAACGTGCCCCTCGGCTACGTTGAGATCAAAACTATCGACCGGAATGCGTTCTCCTATGCCTGTCCGACTGCTCGCCTTGGTTTATGTATTTGACGTGTTGAAGGTCTCCCGAGGAGAAACTCTCAAGCTCGATGTGAAGTACAAAGATATCTTCAAAGGCCGCTTTGGATTGTATCATACTCTGGTCAGCGAGAATGGCCAGAAGCTACATGCTCTCGTTGACACTGGATCGGGTTTCTTTTTCCTCATCTGGAAGAATTGGTTCGAGAAAGCCAGTGGACACCCCTGCAGTACTTGTCCCGTGGGGTGTTACGACTGTCCGAAGGCTTGCTCTGTGGGTAATGTGACGAGAACTGTTGAGTTCCTGGACCATTACACGGTGAAGACGTTTCAGCACAAGTCTAGATTAACCATTGGTCAGGTGTCGCAGATCCTCACTTCCGGACTGATATTCGACCAGAAACCCCCCGTCAGTAAAGTTCCTCCAGCTAACCAAATAGGTCTTGCGTATGATCCAGGTGACGTGAACTTCCCGTCTCTGATGACGCAGTTGCGTTCATCAAAAACTGTCACGACCCAGATCATTGCTCTCTACTTGTATCCTCCCGCTGATCTCAAGGAGGCATCGGCTGATGGAGGCCTACTGCTGGGTGGAGGCGATCCTGCATTATATGAGGGTGCACTGAAGTATGTCGTCTTCTCTTCGGCCGAAG